GCCAATGTTTATCTTCTTTGATGTTAAGTGACACAGCAGTAGAGCAAGCCAGCTCGCTATGTAGTCCAACATGAGGACAGATTAATTCATTATCCTTCAGCTGAGGGGGCTTCTGGTTGAGGAGTTCATGCTGGAGGTCTGATCATCTGCAGTAGCCTTGAGGAAGCCCGAAAAACCGAGTGCTTGAAATGCAGTACCTCCCGCCTGCACTATGACCTCTCTGGGGAAATGCATTTGAATGTAAGAGATGCAAATGCACGAGGGGATACGCGGTGCAGCGAGAACATCTTAATTACATTCTGTTTGCTTGTATTGTTCAGCGTGCCACCTCTGAGCACTTTCTCAAAAGAAAAAAAAAACTCCCCTCATTACCTCCAAACATCTTGTCCATTCATTTGTGTTTTATTAGACTGCAGGGGGGGGAGAGGGAATAAACTGAAACTCTTGTCAAACTAAAGAGACAACAAAACAGGCGAGTATTTCCAGGACAACAACGGTATCTAATGACTACAACAGATCCATATCACGGGGCCCCGGTGTCCCAGGAGGGGCCACGTAAATAACAAATATGGAGCCCGTGCATAATTACTCCCATAACTGGAGTTTCACCAGGACACGTGTCGGCTGATTTCATGCCACTGCACCCGCTCGTGTTGGTGTGTGCATTAACCGTGTTTCTCTGTGAATCTTAATCCTAACGGTCCCTCAAGGAGTTTTTTTTTCTCTCTAGTCTTACATGCCTGTATGGATTTTTTAGACTGCTTAATCACATATCAGCAGGCTTGTTATTAGAGGTGAGAGGAGGCAGCCGGCTGGTGACCTGAATCGGATGATTTTTTTCCGAGTTTGGCTGAGATCTGTGACTGACCGGTCGTCTCAAATAGATTCTGTTTCTGTGACGATCTCAGATGACTGTGGTGTCTTAATCGTTTCACAGAGATGGCCTTCTTTGATGGAAGGATATTTATTGAATAATTGAAACAAATAATTATAAAATGAGCCCTGAGGTCTGCAGAGTCCAGAGCGGAACAATACACAACAACATGATCTTAACTACATTTGCATATTATCATGATTGCCCCTCCCCCTTGTTGGATCTTATGAACGCCCTTCTCGGGACCACATCTCCATCTCTGGTTTTTAACACGAGCATGATACCTATCACTCACATTGATTATCCAATGATTAGGTTTCCCCCCCGCCTCTGATAACCTGATACATCACTCCCCTATTTGAATACCCCATTGACGTAATAGTTACACAACAGCAGGATGAATCCATCACACATTTGACAACTTAATGACTTTGTTATTGCCAAAAAATAAAAACCCTCTTTCCAAGGAAAACATCTGGACTTTTCAGGCCGGGTCCTGCAGATGTTCTCTTGCAGGTCACCGGGCCTTGAGAGAACTCAGTGTCCTCAGTGAACTCAACACTGCAGCAGATCTCATGTGCTCCTCCATACACTTTGTACAATGCACACTGTGTTTGTAATATCTAATTGTTTGGTTGCACTAATACATCTTCAAAAGTTTGAAATCCTGTGAGACGTATCACTTTGAAGAAAATTGCATATTGTCATTAAACTGATATTAAAAAGAACATATGCCTCATGTATGGAGGCTATGGTCCACAAAGCCAGCAGCTCGTTTTCCTACTCTATCGACTGTCCTATCTCATAATCTTTTAGCCGTTTTGCCTTCATCCTGCAGTATGTCCATGCTCTTTTTTTTTTAGGCAATACAGATGTGGACTTCATGTCATGAATTGCCCACAGCTATCGGCTCTTTCTCAGGGTTACAATTTTTCCAAAGCATATTGAGCTAATGATATTGAAATGCAAAAAAAATGCCCATAAAGTTGTTCTGCTTTGTGCAGCTGGCTCAGGCTCCTTGCCAGCTCTCTCTGTCCCATTACTGGAAGGAAGCTTTCTTATAAATGGGGAAATTTATACCACATCTGTAAAGACCAGACAGCACAACCACCCCCCCCCCCCCACCCACCCAATTCAGCTCATCATCTACATGTGGACAGAAGGAGTTTGGCAGGATGAAAGCACAAAACTCTGCTCTGCGTCACAGGACAGGAAGTGACGGCTCAACTTCACAATCAGACACAAAACAAGAGCAAGCTGCACTCAGCAGAAAAAAACTTTATGTGCATTTTTGTGCTTGAATATCATCAGCTCAATAAACATACTGATGCACAATATTTATTGAGCAATCAGCCGTTGCAGTCCATTCTTTGTGAATTAGACCCTCAGTGTTTCATTATGAACATAAAACTGAATTTCTATTAAAGGAAAGTTGCAAAAAAGTTTGTTTTAGCGGTCAATTATAGTTCTTCAATGATAGAAAATCGGTATCGGCAGGTAGGACCTTGAAAAAAAGGGAAATTGGAAGAAACTGCAGACTGTGCGTCTTGACTTCAAATCTTGTTGTGAAGCTTTTATATAATCTGCACATCACAGAGTTTAGTTGAGTTCAGTTGACCTTTGTTGCTCTGACATGGCGGCCCTGCATGCTGTTTATTCATTTAGCTTAAGGGTGGCACAAGTCAGATCTGGACAGCGGTCCAATGAAATGAGCCGTCTTTAGATTTTAGTGTGTTTTTTTTTTTGTGGAGGTCACCGACAGTAAATAAGCTGTCAGAGGGAGAAAGTGGGTGTCAAATCTTATGAATAGACAGAGAGGGGGGGGGGGGGGGGACTGGACGCTGAAGGGCCCAGCGAGTTCCAACACTGACATGGTTTTAAAAGAGCTTAATTATAATAAGCCGGAGTAACAGAGCAAGTGTTTGGTGGCTCGGGGGCGGAGAACATGGGCGACAGTGACAACAGTCCGAGCGAGAGCTACATGAATTGAAGATCACTCTGTGAAGGGGGCCGGCATCAGATATGCATTAATGGAACAACGGAGGCTTTTCTCAGCTGTAGCCGCCAGACTTCATGAAAAAGAAATGACGCCCGCCTCGCAAAAATATATTACACCTAATGTCTTTCCCCTTTTGTGGAAGCCATCAAGCTTCATAACGCTTTATCCATTAAGTCGAAACACGAGCGCTAACAGTGTTATTTCATTTAACAAATGCGAGTTATGCTTTATGAAAACAATAAATCCCACCACAGATCTGTGTGTCCCAACATCATTTGTTAATCACATTATTGTTAATTAATGACGCAATCCTTTTTAAGCTAATGGTTGACTGTGTGTGTGTATTGGGCTCGGGCGACGGGAAGGGGAATTGGAAAAAAGGGAGTGTGTGAGAGAGTAAGAGTGACGCACTTTAATCACTCCGCTGAGAAGAGGAGCCAGAGGGGGGGAAGAAAAGGGAGCAGAAATAAATAAATAAATGCAAAATATATATCGATGGTTTTATATCCTCGTGAACTGGTTTACAAGAAAATATTGGAATTACAGTCAAAATGATTTATCATGTATTGTTCTGGCTGAGGCTGTTTAACTCCCTGCTCCTATGAATATTAACACACTCCGTCTCTCTCTCTCGCTCTCTCTCGCTCTCTCTCTCCATCTATCTGTGTTTCTCCGTCTCACACACACACACGTAAACGTATAACACACTAGCAGAGCTCCCTGTCTAATTTTTCATGAAGATCGCTGTTTTTATGCTAATCTGACAGCTGCATTCATTTTCAGACTTTCTCTCAGGCATTTATTTCCCAATCACATACTCACTCATGCACAATAACACACACACACACACACACACACACACACACACACACACACACACATACACTTCTCCTCCTGCTTCTTCTTCTTCTTCTTCTTCTACTTTTCTTACATCTTGGCAGAAATGAATTGAAACGCCGTCCTAATGAAGGCTTTTCTAATTGGGAAGAAATAGGCGCTTATTTGATTGAGACAACTCTGACAGCTTGGAAGAAAAAAACCTGAGATTGTGGCTTCATGAATAAATTGTCCCACTTTTTAATAGACCACTTCCTTTATAAGTCAGAAGGAGCCTTGTTTCAAAGCATCAATTTGACCCCGGTCACTCGCTATAATGCTGCAAGGCTCTTCTTCGCTGAATAGCCGGGGTAATTAGCCGCACTCTTTTCTCCATCAGGTCATGTTCAAACCTTTCATAGGCATTCCTAAAGTCGACGAGGTAATGCAGCGAGACAGGAAAGCCTCAGTTTGGAGGTCATGAGAAAGGCAGAATTGGACCAGTCAGTCAATAACTCCGTCAACTGAGTTGTGCCTTTGAGGGCTGCTAATGAAGCTCAGAGCGCAGGGAGGGAGGTGCTCGTTTTGGCATGCTGGGGGAAGCAGCGAGACAACTGTTAACATTCGCTTGCATCTCTCGTCTCTCTGGAGGTGAGGCAGGAGTGGCAGTTAAACTGAGTTAACTGTGCTGCATTATGAGGGAAAGCAGCACCAGTACCTGTCTCCCTCATTTCTGTGGAATCCATCCCCCCCCCAGCTACTCACTGAGTGTACTCAAGCCCTCAGATGGGGCTGAGAGCTATTCAAGAGCAATGTGTACCTCAGTGCTTTGAGAAGACATTACTCAGCACAATAAAACACTGCACGCTGACTTCGCTCTGCAAAACGTGGCATCAATGTCGAGGAAGTGCTGAAAGACGACTGAATGCACATCGTGGTACATTCATAAAATGATATAATCTTTATTTCAGGGGGCAAATCAGTGTCCTTATTGTTCTATAGGCTCGGTAGAAGATGCTTTTTTATTAGCCTGCATATATAAGAGCTGCTAACAGTGTTTGAGTCTGAAGTGTCTGATAAGAAACTTAAAGGGTGGGTGCAAAATACAGCAGCTTGGAATTAATTTCTGCCATATTTTGAATCTCCTACAAGGTGCATGAAATTCTCTGCAGGCATGAGTTTCTTGGCACAACAGCGGCTTTGTTGTGTTAATAATGTGTGTTGTGTTTACAGTCAGCGGTTGATGCCTGGTTCACATTCATACAATGAATACCCTGTTAATGTCTTCTCCTTTTTGTTTTGTCTCTCCAGCGGGAACAACGTACATATTTGGGCGAGATGGCGGACTGATCACGTACACGTGGCCGCCAAACGACCGTCCCAGCACGAGGGCAGACCGGCTAGCCATCGGCTTCAGCACGCACCTGAAGGACGCTGTCCTGGTGAGGGTGGATAGCTCCTCTGGTCTCGGAGACTTCTTGAAGCTTCACATTGTAAGTCACAAACTTTTTTAAACATTACATCAGTTGCTGTCCCCGAGGGGAAATCTGGTTTGCAGCGAGGTGGAAACAAGAACGATAAAGAAACACAAGAACATCAGTAGAAACAACATTAAACATGAACATCATTAAAGGAAACTGAGAATGTATAAAAACGTCCAGAAAGGCGTTTTCACACCTGAACTGTTTGGTCAATATGAAACAAACTCTGGTGCACTTTGTCAAATAATTGCTTTGGTTTGGGGTGAATGCTCAAAGGAACTCTGGTGCGGACCAAAGAACCGTACAAGGGGTCTTGGTTTGCTTCCAGTTGCACCAGAGTTCGGTTCGCTGTAGGTGAGATTACATGGAGACTTGTGTAAATCAGTGTGATGAAAGATACAACAGAAAACTCAAAGTACTTGGTCTTTATCGATTCTCTGATTTGTTGAAATTTTCAAAATCCAAAACAAAAAACAGCCAACCGGAATTTACATCTTCAGACACTTCAAATCCATTATTAACCCTTTACCTTTTCTGAAGAATATTTCCTTTTTAATATAGATGGAAATGGAAATAATAGGATGCAAAATGTATTTCAGACCAAACAAAAGGAAGTGAATCAAAATGCATTGTGGGTTGAATTTTGCCTTCTGTAAACAATGATTTGTTTTCCGAGTGTGAGTAACGTTACCATCTTTCAGTCCTCCTTTGAGGTTAACGTCCACACACATACCTTTGCTCCGGTCGATATGCTACTTTAACCCGACACAGTCAATATAATTGTACCTTCCTTTTTTAAATCAAAATACTGACAGACCACACTGCGCTGGATGCCGTTCTTCCACTGTCCCATCAATTTACATTGAAGGTTACAGTGCAGAATTAGACTGGATGGAAGAAGCCACTGAACAGAGATACAGCCCCAACAAGTGGCAGGTGGTCTACGGTACACAACATGTCCTTACTTCCCAATAAAATATTCTCAAGTCGGTCTTTTTTTTTTTTAGAGAAAATGGACACTGGTTAAGATAAAAAAAAAGAGTTTCACAACGTCACCCATCAGCAAAGTGGAAGTGCAAGCCAAGACACAAGACATTTATAATAAGAAAAATCAGCGTTAATCCACCAGTTATTGATTTCTGGTGTCTTCCTAACTTAAATATGAGCATTCTGTTGTTTCAAAATGAACATGAGCTTGTTTCTGTTGTAATATTCACAGTCTGAAAAATGCTGCATCTTTAAGTTCTCTTCACCTGTTGTGATTTTCTGCAGATAAAAGACCAAATGGTGAAGGTTTTATTGATTTTTGGGAGATGTTCTGTTTACAATCAAACAAAGAAATGCTCAGTTTATTCAAAAACAAATCTTTAAATAGTTGAACCAAAGCAAAAAAAAAAACATATTTTTAGCAGCAGTGATCTCTTTTTCTGCCGCTGAATGTAGGACTCAATTTTCCAATCAGCTCCTTGCTATGCTTGAGGGGTTTAACTAAACGTCCTGCTTAAGATTGAACAGTTTATTTTCCATTCTCTCTTGCTTTTTTTTCTTAACTTTTCTGAACACACCACCCCCTCCAACCCGAAAAAAGATGATGTCACCGTTCAGTTGCATTCAAATGAGAACCTGGTGATTGTAATGGTTGTCTGAATCTCATGACACAACACCGACAGAATCGTGTTGAAGACGAGTTTTTCACCTTTAGATTTGAGTAAATATAAAGCGCTAATGTAGCATATGGAAACAGAATCCCACGATGGTTGCTTTCTGATTTCTAAGCTCGAATTTCATGACCAATGACCAAATAGTCCAGGTGAAGATGATTCAAGCACCACAAAAGAAAGAGGAAGTCATGTTTAATGTGCAATTACATCATGCATGACCCACATGACATTATTATTGTGTGTGGGAACAAGGAGTCCATACTTGCTCACCTCATCGTATGTAAGTGGTGTGGTCACGCTGTGTTGTGTGTGTGTGTGTGTGTGTGTGTGTGTGTGTGTGTGCAGCAGCAGCCGAGCCGAGGGAAATGGTGCACTAATAAGGGTTAGCGTTCATATAGTGCACCTCTGACCTGGACATAATTCTGCTGGCTACCACATGACCTCCCTCTCGCTAGCACCCTCTTACTGACAACACTCATTAGCGGGTGAAGGGGGACGGGCGGCGGGGGGGGCGGGGGTGGCGGCGGCAGGGTGGCTGCAGCCCCTCCTGCTGGGGAGAGTGGAACAAGGGAGAAACATGCAGTATGTCTGTTTGTGTACATAACATGTCCTGACATATTTAAGAGTTTCCTAATGGTCATGCACCTTTCTGGGAACTACCATCAAACGGCCACCGTTTATTGAAATACTGTGCATGTTTGAGATTAGAGAGATAAGATGTTTCTGCTCGTTACACTTATAACCACAGAATTCACCGGGTCTTGAACCAGCGAGTCTCCGGTTCCCAACCCAGGTGCCTGCAGACATGCTACTACCGCCCCCGACCGCCGCACACCTCAGAACATTTACTAAAGGCTCACACTAGCCTGAGCCACCCGGGAAAACTGCATGACATCACTGATGTTGGCCATGGGCATACAGGAACGTTGCACACACACACACACACACACACACACACACACACTCGTACAGGAAACAGTCCACCCAACATACTGACACACAAATTGATCTTGAAGTTTGCCTCAACCCAAGCTGCCCACACACAGAGTCACACATACAGTGAGCATGCATGACATGAGCAGGCCTGTCCCGAGGACACCGAGCGGCCATGATGTCGTTCTTATGAGACACCTTTGGATGCACTGCTCCCCCCCCCCACCACCACCATTTTCCCCCTATAAACCTCGGGGCTAAGTGGTATTTAGCCCCTAGTTTTAATTCAGGAGTAACATGTTAATTTAAAAGAACACAACCTTTTTTATGCACACTGTGTATACGTATCTCTAAATGCCACCCGGGAGACTCACACAAGATGTTTAGAAGAACATAAATCAAAAACGTCAGAATAGAGGGACAGGTGCGGCGCTCTCTCAGATGCGTCTGGGCTGCCGTCCATAAGCGTGAAAACACCTGAACGGTGATGAAACAGACAGATTTTCTTTAAGCGTGATTTCTATGAAAAAAATGTCTCCTCCTGAAAGGTTTCCTCTTTTAATGAAAAGGGGCTTTGCTTTGTGGCTCATCCCACTGCAGGTCTGATTTCATATACATAGACATTTCCTCCTGGTGTGCTTACATAGGCACCTGTACTTGTACTTAAGAATTCACACACCTATACACACCAATAGGGTGCAGATAGTGTCCAACCAGGGTGATGCAGGTCTCATTTGTTGCAAAATCTCTCTGTCCATTCTAACAAATATGGATAAAACGTATTGTTCATAAAACAGATGCTTGATAAAAATTCAAATTCACCTTCGGCACAGTGTGTGCTCATGAGGACAATAACTCATCAGACCTGTAAAAATATGTGTGTATGACTTTGGTAGCCAGCCTCAAGTGGACACTCTAAGAACTGCAGGATATTCCAATTCCGCACAGGCTTCATTTTCAACCCCTTCATTTCACCGCCGCTTGTTTAAAAGCAGTAAGGGGTAATGTAAAGTTGGCAGGGTGTTCATATGAAGTGAAACTCTGACACTGTGATTCACCCTGAAGGAGTTTCTCTTTGACAACAACCCGCTCACTTTTTTCCTCCCTTATTACACAGATAGGCAATATATAATTTCAAACCAATTTTTTGGATTCGGAAATTATTTTATTGATTTAAAAACTAAACAAATAGTTCATTTGAATCTAATTAGAGCTGCGTCCATAGCAACCGTTTTCTCAGTGCACCTTTATAAAATGAGCTAAAGTAGCTTTCATTGCCCATTATAAACAGAACATTTCCACCATTGGTGAAGTGAGACAAGATGAACAGACGTGTATATATCAGCACAGCACTTGAGCTTTCTGCCTCGTCATGTTGGGATCTGTTGATGGTTTCTTGTCCATTCAGCCGTCTTTAAATCACCACCCTAACCCAGAGCATGTTCTTTGTGCGCTTATTTCATGTGCCATCTCCAGTTTTGTAGATTTCTTTGACATAGCGTAGCACTTTTACATTTTATAATCTGTTTCCTGCAAGTTTCATCTCCTTGTCTTATTCCCAAAGTAAACAGACAAACGTCAAAATAAGCGACGTCGTTCTGTGCATTGATATGATTACAGTTAGTCCTCTTGAGCCTGTGATTAGAGCCGTCTCCCTGGCAACCATGCATCAACTTTCCTTGGTAGCAGTTTGTTCTGCTTTACAAAGGTATATGCTATCGAGGGGATGTGTAATTGGCCAATCAGAATTAAGCACTCACACAGCGGCGTGATAAGTGTATGTTAAATAACAAACTGCTAACCAGAGGTAAAGGTCTGCTGTTCAGCCGATACATGATGTAAACACACAGGTCACATCATGGAGGGAGCATTCTCCATGAAGACGGTCTGAACGGGGGGGGGGGGACCTGGTTTAAGGGTTCGCCACAGAGCAGAGATGAACATGAGGAGAGGTGAGAGAGCGCGAGGCAGGGAGATCGTGCAGCTCACAGCAGATGCAATGCGTATAGCCTTGTTGATTAACTGTGAAGCATTCCATTGACATTTTACAGGGAGAAAACGTTGATAAGGCATGTTCTTACAGCAGGGGCAGTGGGTTGTGAGAATCCCCTCTCCTCTCGCATCAGCAGTCACTCTGAATGCCTCCTCGTGTTTATTTATTTATTTATTTATGCACATTAATCTCGGGGCTTTGTGAAACGTTGCATTTCATTAGAAAATGAGAGCAGCGTGAGAGAGAGAAAAAAAAGAGTTTTAGAGAGACACAGAGGAGGCAGAAAGGTTGTGCTCTTCCATTTTTTTTGTTCATGTAGATTTTTCCCGAAGGAGCATCAGGGTTGGAATATGAACAATCAACTCTGCATGAAAGAGTATGACATGCTTTTCATCCATGCTGTGCAACAAAAAGTTTTGCAAAAT